TATTTCAGGGTTTAATGACTAAAGCACTGGGAGTTTCTGGCTTATTAAATAGGAAATGCATGAAGTCTTTTACTTAGTAGTTGTAATGTCTTTTCAAAACTGGAGCTTGTACTAAGTTATTTCCAACTTTTTCTTCTATTATCTGAAGGAGAGCTAAGGTGTATAACTTTTCACATGGCATATCACATCAGCTGAAACAATAATTAGAGGAAGTTGTAAAACAATTAAATCAATGTACTATGAGTAAACATAGTAAGGATAAACACAGTTGCTGTAAAAAGAAATTGTATCTCTTTAATCAGAACTCTTTGCCTTTCTCAACAAAATAGTTGTTGAAGGGAATAGAATGTATTTTCAAAAACTTCTTTGAAAAACTCTTCATAAAAGGCTTTTAAGGAAAATCAGGAGTCTTGGAAAGGGTACCTTATAGCAGACCCTTTCTCACGGGTCCTCATGCCACTCATTTCACAAAGGGTTGTGGAAGAAGGACATACCCCTCATACTGAAATTACGACCCTATCTTGAGTCATATAGTCAGGCTGAGCTTGCAAGACAATGGAGGATACAATTAGCTCATTTGTGCTCAAGAATATTAGAAAAGGCCAGATGGTAATTTATGCTACTTTAATCAATGATCTAGAAGAAAATATAATATACTTACTGATAAAGATTACACCCAGAATGGGGATTAGTAAAGGATGAAGAAGACAGATCAGAATACTTAGGACAAATAAAATAGTAGTGTACCTGTCCCTACCCCCCTCACGTTCTGGAAGACACAATATCTACACAAGACTTGACTAGTGAATCAACTGAATGTGAACTTCCAATGTAATGCTGTGGCCAGAAGAGTTAATATGATTCTTGGATGCATAAACCAGGGATGCAAAAGATTAATTTACAGACTCATAGGAGACTGTTGTGCTTGGAATAGGTCTGCTTGCTATGTCACGTTTGATGATAATCATAACTGGAAAGGGTGCCAAGAATGAATTAGAAATTTCAAAGAGCAGAGAAAATGATTGCAAGTTTGTAAAATGTGCCCTCTAGTGAGTGTTTCAAAGACCTTAGTCTTTTCTCATCAGAAAAAAGTTAAAGGCTGACCTGAGCAAAGTCTGCGCTTGCCCACACAAACAGAATTGGATAATAAAGGACTTGCAAACATAGGAATAATAAATTAAAATGGATGGAACTTTAAACTAGACACATTCAGAGCAGAAACAAATAGCCATTTGTTTAACTCCAAAGGTCATTAACCTTTGGAACAGTTTACCAAAAGCTGTTGTATGTTCTTCATCACTGAAATCTGTAAATGAAGATTAAAGGCTTTTCTAAATGACATGTTAGAATAAACTGGGATTGACTGAAGGAACTTTTGTGTATTATAAAGAAAGTCAGAACAAATAAGCACAGTCAGCTCTTGTGGCTCTATTAGCTGTTCATCTGATCTATAAACAGAGTATAATATATTGCCATGTTGTAAAGTAGGCACACTGGTCACAGGGTGCCTGAAAGATCTGCTAAGGTGAGTGGTGTTTAGAATACTGATTTGTGACCTGGAAAAAGAGCCTGACAACAATGAAAATAAAAATTTTGTCTTGAATGAGAATCTGGAGACAACATAAAAGACAGTTGAGATTTAAGACAGTCAAGACTAAGAGATATCATAAATGCAAATTAAATTGGCTTTTGTGAATGATGTGTACAACTGCATAAAGGGTAGGATACAAAAGAAACAATGTCATTCTATAAATTGATACTTTCTTGTTTTGAATGCTGCATTCACTCCTCTTCAAATGAAGTATAGCAAGAATAAAAATTTCTGAAGATGAGAAAATAATGAGATGATTAGGGATGTTTTTGTGTTAAATCTAAGATATATAGGGCTGTTGTGCTGTGACTTTAAGAGGTGTGTGTTATGGTGGTTCCTTGCATTTCTGTCAAACCCAGAGAAAGTACTATCCCACTGTAAAATCAGGATATGGGGCTAGTCCAAGTACTGGTCTGATTCAGCATGGTGGAATCTGTGTTTCTATTATTTCTACACTATATGAGGTTTGCAAGGCAATAAATGTATTGTCAATCTTTGCAAGAAAGTATAAACCAAAACAAAAAATTGAATATATTCATTTATTCATAATTTGTAATATAACTTTTTCAAATATCTCAGAACTTCTATATAATAGAATGCTTGTGTTTTTTTCACAAAATATATAACAAATAGTGTAATTTAAAAGTAAAAACTCAGAATGTCTTTTGAAGGTTCAGTCTTAAATATTCTTTGTCTTCCTAATTTAAAAGTTGATCATGCTGCCTCTAGTTTGTTGTAGAAATATCAAATATACCAAGTTGCACTTAGTGCTGTTATCTTCTCTGCTATGCTATATATTCAGATGTTAAGTGTTAAGTGCAGCGTCTGATAAGACTGTGTGAGTTCCATGCTGTTTGTAAATGAAAAATAGTAGCCTGGATCCCTAATGCTTACTGCTTTTTATTGAGGATTATGCCAGAGTTTATCTTTATGCGCCCAGCACTGAAGTATAAATGAAACTTAAAGCCAGCAATTTGCATTTTCCCTCTACTGTGTTCAGGACCTGTAACTACCATAGTGTTAGTTGATTCTGAATTCTCCAGTATCATTAAGCCAAAGTTCCTGCAAAGTATATTTGGGAATAAGAGAATGATTGTGAGCTAAACTGAAAAAAAAAATTATTGAAAGCTTCATATCAGAAACTCTTACAAAATCCACTTAATTCCTTGTGTGTGGTTTGGAAGCCTTGCTAACGTTACTTTTAATTCTGCTATTAAGAGCTACAGAATTAGTAGTAATAAAAGCCAACTTCAATTGTCTGTACTGACCTGCATTCCATTGTTATTGTGGTAAAATTCTGACTGACATTAATAGATGCTGCAAGAATAGGCTTGTATCTGTTTCTAATTATGCATATTCTGCCTATGTCTTAAAGCTAATTTTTTTTCCCCAAAGATTTTTCATTAGCTTTTTAAATTAATACTGTACTCAAATTAAGTTCCCCCCCAAAAATTAATAAATGTACAAAACTTACCTTGATGGAAAAAAAAAATCTAAAATATCTTTTCTTTCTATACTGGCTCTTTAAGGCAAAAGAGGAGCCTAGGAAATTATGAGGTTTTTGGTTGTAACCTACATTGCATTTATGATGGTAGCTCCTTTCCAAATATGGATCAAGCTATGATACACTTAGTCTCTCAGAGTAATAGCTCAAGTTGCCTTAAGTTATTCAATGTGAGTGTGGATATCACAGTGGAACTACTTGTAAATACAATATGATGCCATGTTAGAGTTGAAAGCTGAATCTGCTGTTAGCATTTGCTAGAAGCAAAACTTGTGAATTAGAAAGTGTTATATTTCTTCAGCTAATTTACTATTGCTATTAGACGTTTTGGAGGTCAGGAGATTTTTATTTTGTGGAAAGATATTCTTAAATTAATAATTTTTAAAAGGCAAATATTTTGAAGCTTGTTAAAGTAAATAACTAACTCTTTTATCACTGATCTATCCGCTACCTTGTTTGCCAAACTATTAAAATGCTCAGGACAGGTGTAACAGATTGGACGAATTCCTGTTTTGTTTTGAGTTGAAAATTCTTTGGAATTATGAACTGCAGAGCAAGGTATTGGCATTATCATTACCAGTAACAGACCACTGGACTCAAGAGCATTTTAAAGAAATTAGATACGTATGCATTTTAAATTTGGTGAAAGTTTTTATATTTTAATTTTGTCTAGAGTAGTTGAAAAACAAAATTTTGTTTTTTGTGTGTTTCAGGATTTTGCTCTTAAGGAGCTCCAAAACAATGGAAAGAAACCATGTAACAGCACCATGGATGTAAAGTTAACCCACTGATTGAACGTTCTTTTGAAAACCTTTTAAACAGCTTCATTTAGATTTTGAGTATATTTATCTGAGCTGTGTGGCTCACCCTGTTGATAAACCAATGAAACATTTTAATAAAAACTTGGATTACAGGAGATGCAAATTGTTTGTATGCAAATCTGTACATATGTAGACATTGGTTTTATTAGTAGACCATTATCTTAATGCAGTGTTTTGAATTGGTGACAGATGGTGATAATTAAGAATTTAATCGTTCTTTTCTTAGTGATTTCAATTTCTGACTAAAAGAGTTATAATTAAAAAACCCAAAATATATGTATTTTAATTTCTTTTCAAATACAATGTCATCTTTTTTCTAGGAAATACTGGAAATTGTTCCCAATAGCATTTTAGAAAGAAGGAATGAGTTTCAGCGACCCTATATATGACTGATTAACTTTATTATATGACTACTGAAGACATAAAAAATATGCATCTTTTTAAAAAGAACTATTTTACACATGACAAGTAAACATTTATTTATTTATTCTTTGTTTATAAACTAACAGGCATTATGTCCACTTTTTTAATTTGAGATGGAACCAAATTGGTCGTTCACTTGGTGATAATACATGTTTATAATTTTATTTCCTACACGAAATTGGTTAGTCTGCTCAAACCTATGTTCAGGCAGTCAGTTACCTAAGTGTATAACCAAGTGCATTTTTTAAATGGGATTAAAAAAAAGAGCAGATACTTTCCGAGGATGTACATTTTCACTAGAAAGTTGATCTCTCTTACTCAGTAGAAAGTAAAGAGTAAAAATGGATCAGGTGCCCTCTTGATATAGATTCATAGTAACTTTATTAAAGTTAATGACATTTATACCAAGTGAAAAATGTACCCTCACAGAAATTAATTTGTCTGGTAATACTTATATCAACTATTTTACATTCACCAAGTTCACTGCCATATTCCTATTTATTTCAGTGTAAGTGGAGTATTCAATCCATTGGATTAAATTGTCCAAATCTTACTGAGGCAAAGCAGTGAAGTCAAGAGAATTTTACCTGCAGGAATTAAAAATACAGATTTAGATTTTTTTTTCCTTCTCTGGCATATAATACTATAACATTGTGACCTATTTAACCTGGGTTAGCGTAGATATCAACATGCAAAGTGTGGCACAGCTCAGACTTTAAATAATTATCTGGTAATGAAAGATAAATTTGGTTGTTCATGGTTGCTTCTTCTTGCAGTGGTTTCTGTACCAGCCCCATGCCTTACACGGGTCCCTGTACAACAAAGAAGAATTTCCTGACATTTATGTCTGAAATGGGCAACATTATACAAAATCGGATTGACAGCAGAGTTGGCAAAAGTGAATAACACTATCCAGAAGAAAACTGATGGCAAAATATTTAAATCTTGTTTGTAGTTCTGGACTAAAATTAGAAAAATAATTATTATAATTGGGCTCCACATGATGAAGAAAGAGATCATCAACACAAAGAGGGCTCGGAATAGTTTGTAGTCTTGCTGGGAAACACGAATCTGATGATCTTCTGAGAAGGCTAAACCAGCATTTAAACTCCTTCTTAATGTTTTTGTGATCTGCAGTAAAAGAGAAGAAAGTAACTTTCATTGAAACCTAGAAGAATTATTAACACATTTTTACAAATGCAAAAGTAAATCTTGGCAGATGATGTTTCTGTTTTGAAAAGTGACTACAAAAAAGGCATTACAGAATTCCATTTTCACTTTTTGTCAATGGTACCAGGTTTTTTCTCCCTCTCAGCTGTGAACTCACCTCAATATTAGTCAAGATGGTTGTTCTCCTCATGGCTCTCTACCAGCCATAAATACTTTTCAGCATAAAACAGAGCCTTAATTACTCATGAAATCCCATTAACTTCAAATTATGACCTCATTTGCTCTATCTAAATAAACCCATTTATTTCTTCCACAAATGCAAACTGGAACATAGTTAACAATCCTGTTGATACACAAGAAGGAACACAATCCAATTCTCTTACGGCCATGCTGATATTATAAAGTAGGCATTAGAAGGAGCATGAATTTATTGCAGTAGCTAAATCATGATATGTTTTAAATGTGAATGGGATTTTACGTTGAGTTTTGTGTAAACTTTTAGTTTTTCAGTCAGTAATCAGTATTGCTTTTGATGAACTAACCTGAAATCTTACAGATCCTTTTGTCACTATGAAAATCTGTGTCTTGGAGACGTACTGTCTGATGTAATAAACCAGACTATGGGTAGTTTGGGAATTCAGTACTCATGGGTGCGAATCATCTGTCATTAGGTAGAATATTGAATCCCAATGGCTTGCAGAAAATTCTCAATCTTATGCTCTACATCCCTGTCTTCACTGAAGCTGGCATAGCACAATTAAATCTATTACATTCACATATCTGAGGCAAATAAAATAAAATTGAAATATTTAGCAAACAACTGTGCTAAATAATTGAGATGCCATTTTACCCTCTGCATGGGTAAAGAAGGGGTATTTTCAAAAGCCTGGATCAATTTGGTGTCCAAGTAGGAAAGTCAAAAGGCGTAAGACTCTTCGTGCCACTTTTATGTGTCACATTTCCCTTCAGCAGTAACTAAAGGAAGGATAACACTAATACAAGTAACACTTAATAGCTTCCTGGTTCAGGTAAGGATGGAAATGGTTATATATAAATTAAGTAATTTGTCATTCTTTCTGCAGTTTTCTGAATTGGTCACAGAGATAGATGGCCTAGAATAAATTTTCATTAAGAACCTAGACATCTACCAAAGATTTCAACAGAAAGTAGGTGTATAAATCAAAACCTGTGACCCAAAAATGGACTTCTCAGCAGCTGCTGAGCCTGAGAAGGGGACCGTCTCACTCACTGCTTCCCTGATTTAAAGGTGGCAGAGAATTCTGATGTGTTGAGCATGTAAAACAATTCCAGTCTGATCATCTTCTGCTATACCCACCTGGAATCCAGAAACTAGGCAGCTCCTCCAAACAATCTGATCCAAGAGTCATTCTCAGAGAGAACCTAATCTGTCTTAGTAAGAATGAAAGTTTCACAAAATACAAAGGACTAATATCCACTATCTAATATAAAAATAAGTATCTAATATAAAAGTGGAAAACCAAGTTCTGTACCCTCCTCAGCCTCCACTATTCAAAATGGCTACAGAATGTCCTCATCAGATACCTCTGTACCCTCCATCTTTCCTGCTGGAGCTGCACAGCCTAGAACTAAGAATGCAAGCATCATCAGGGTTGTGGTAAATAAGACGCAACTGCACCTTAAGAAAGTGCTTGACTGAAAGGAGGTGGCAGTGATATGGTTTGGATCCCTTTTCAGTCTGCCTAGTACAAGGAATCTAGATACCTATCATGGGCATCTGGACCTCACTCAGAAACAGGAACTTAGAAGTCACATATATATAGGTATGTAACTTCCAGAACATGAATGTCTTTACTAGTTCTAGCTTCTTACCTAAGTCTTGCCTGAGAGGGGGAATGATGCAAAACCAAATAACTTAATTACAAATCATGGCTTCTAATCTGTCATTTTTGCCAGGGTTCTGGGAAGTAAAAATAATACTCCGTTTCAGATTAAATTGTAAAGTATATATTTGTAGAGTATATTTGTTAAAAAATTTGAAGTCTTATATCTGTAGTGAATCATCATCATCATACATGCTGTGTTATTTGGATACATGAATACTTTGAACTGCTTCCAGCAACACTGAGCATTGTACTCTGTGTGTACTGGCATCATGAAGCATTCTCACAAAGTAAATCTGTTCTTGGGAATGACTCAGGGATTAAGATATTCTCCAGCTTAGTTGCTTCCTGGAGAGCTGTGTGAGAGAGAAGATTCAATTATAACAGATGGGATCCTGGTATGGCTCTTGTTCCTTTTTCACAGAACCACAGAATCGTTGTGGTTGGAAGGGACCTTTGGAGATCATTCAGTCCAAACCCCCTGCCAAAGCAGGGTCACCTACAGCAAGTTGCACAGGATCTCGTCCAGGAGGGGTTTGAATATCTCCAGAGAAGGAGACCACACAACCTCTCTGGGCAGCCTGTTCCAGTGCTCTGCCACCCTCAAAGTACAGAAGTTTTTCCTCATGTTAAGATGGAATTTCCTGTGTTTCAGTTTGTGCTCGTTGCCCCTTAACCTGTTGCTGGGCACCACGGAAAAGACTCTGGCCCCATCCTCTTGACACCTACCCTTAAGGTATTTATGAGCATTGATGAGATCCCCTCTCAGTCTTCTCCAGGCTGAACAGACCCAGCTCTCTCAGCCTTTCCTCATAAGGGAGATGCTCCAGTCCCTTCATCATCTTTGTTGCCCTCCGCTGGACTCTCTCCAGTAGTTCCTTGTCTTTCTTGAACTGGAGAGCCCAGAACTGGACACAGTACTCCAGATGTGGCCTCACCAGGGCAGAGTAGATGGGGAGGAAAATCTCCATCGTCCTGTTGGCCACACTCTTCCTAATGCACCCCAAGATACCACTGGCCTTTTTGGCCACAAGGGCACATTGCTGGCTCACAGTGAACTCATTGCCCACCAGGACTCTCAGGTCCTTCTCCACCAAGCTGCTCTCCAGCAGGTCAAGCCCCAGCCTGCACAGGTGCATGGGGTTATTCCTCCTGAGGTGCAGGACCCTACACTTGCTCTTGTTGGACTTCATTAGGTTCCTCTCCACCCAACAATCCCGCCTGTCCCAGTTCAGGAGAAATGGTAACACATCTTAGCATCTGTGTTATCAAGTTGGAAAAGAAATGTGAGCATGGCAGATTGGGGCTGTCTTGTAATCCAGTATTCCAAACACTTCTGGGGGGCTTCTAGCTCCCTATGTGCCATTTTGCTTTCTAAATTTACTTCTGGTAATCTGGAATCTGCAAGGACAAGAGGAACATCATTCCTGTCCTAGTCTCTGACC